ATACAGAAATTTCAAATCAAATCAAATTCAAATTGACAAAATATTTGATTCGATTTGACTTTGAGGAACCCTACTACATATACTTTTTGTCAGATCAAACAACGCGCATATACAAACAATACATATATACAAATCAATAAAATGTTTTGGTATTTGCATTCAAAATATGATTATTTATCAAATAAAAACTCAGAATATAATAGTGATTCTGGGGATGATTTGCCAAATCTAACAAGAGATAAGCAACGAGTCTTGCAAAAATATAAATATCTTAACCACTCTAATTGCCCTAGAAAAGAATACCTTTATGCCTCAGAAAATGTTCAACCTGAAGGATGGGTTATCTGGCAAGAGTTTCCTTATAGCTAGATATTTCGATAACTTATCCGAGTTTGAAATATGGCATGAATCGATACCTGAAAACCAGCGTATATTTCATGAGGTTATTCAAATAGGATAGCTACAAAAAATTAAGATTGATATGGATGGTGAATTGGAAAAATTTGCATTATATTCCGATCCTTTAGATAGAATAGAAAAGGCTTTAGAACAAAAATTATTTGATGGTTATATTGCTAATACACATCTTTATACATGGCAAAAATTTACAGATATAATACGTAAAAAGGATGAGATTAGTTTGTATATCAAGAATGCTCTCTGAATTGCCATAAAAGAGATAAATGGATTGAATCTCTTAAAGAATGATATTATTATAGCTGATTCCTCGAATAAAATGAAATGGAGTAAACACTTGATATTATCTAGGTATTTCGTTCGTGGTGCATCCAAAGCTCAAAAATTTATATTGTGAATCTTAGAACTTCTTCCAGAAAGAATGCATCCTTTCATTGATGAAAAAGTAAACAAGGGTCTCTATTGCTTTCAACTAGCAGGAAGTCATAAAGCCAAAGACTCTTCACACATTAAGCGCATATATTCAAATCATACTTGAAGAGAGTCACTTATCACTCATATTGAGAAAGATTCTATAGAACTCTGGCTATATGAATGGGAAGAAGATAAAAAGCTGAAAAATAAGTCTGTCTCATATGAAGAGAGTGATACTGCAATAAAAATAGTAAAAAAACAATTTCCTTTTCTGTCTTATCAAAATTCTAATAATGGCTTCGATGTTTTTGATAGAATTTGGCCTATAATATGTTCAATCTGTGAAAAAGAGCACACAAGAGAAGGTATGTATGGTAGATGGTGTGGATTGTATTATTTTCTTTATTGTTTTAGGCAATAAAAGGGGAAATCCGGTATTGAGGTTGTTAGAGCAGATCATAATAAGAAAAAAGTTATTCCTCGTTTAGATAGATTAAGAGCTTGGCTTCAGCATAGATCACAGTCTCATTCACAAAATAACTTTACTGCTATTAGAAAGAACATCGAAATATATAATGCTAAAACAATGCATAGCTATAATTTACAAGCTAAACTTATGAGTGTAACCAGCACTTGATGCTTATTAAAGGACATTGTGGTGTTGGCAAATCAAATGAGACAGCAGAAGAAATAAGAACACTTTGTCATTCTGATAGATCTTCCGTTTCAACTCTTATCATATCTGGTCGGCGTTCTCTTGCTCATAGGCAAAAAGTTCTTTTTGAAGGATTTAAGTCTTACTTTGAGCTGGATACAAAAAAACTTAATCCTAAAGATACCCCTAAACTCATTATCAGTCCGGAAAGCATTCACAAACTTGGAGCAACTGGCTATAATGTGATTATACTAGATGAGTTTGAAACAATTACTCAAAATTTTAGTGGACCTACCATGAAAAAACCAAAGCTAAGTCATGATATATATAAATCCTTGCTTCAATCTGCATTATTAATATTGGCTTTAGATGCTACATTAGATTCAGACTCGCTTGTACATTTATAAAGCATTTTGAAAATAGATGCCGAAAATTCAACCGTGATATGGAACCAGCATATACGAGATAAACATCATACTCTTATACATATTAATACCAAAAAATGGAATGTTGAATTAATTGGAGCTCTGAGACAAGGATTAAAAGTCTATATTCCAATGTTTGCTAGTGCAGAAATGGCAGAGGCTCTTTATAAGGAATTAGAATCTCAAGGATATCAAGGCAAGTGTTTTTCCAAACAACTATTAGAAACTAAGAAAAAAGAAATATTTGCTGATATCAATAATGCAGTGACAAATCTTGACTATTTGATAGCAATTCCTGTAATGACTTGTGGAGTAAGTATAATAGTTGAAAACTTTGATATGACGTTTGCACACTTCTGCATATTAGCTGGTCTGACAAGCAATGAAGTATATCAGATGTTGCACTGTATTTAAAAGCTAAATCAAAATGTAGTACACATTCTAACAGATTTACGTAGCGATAATTTGCCAACAGACCGTGAGGATTTACTTTGTTTTATCAGCTAT